TGCCCCACAATGACTTTGTGACAGCAGCCCTTGTCCTTCTGGACCACGGGACAGGGCGGTTGTCCTTGACAGTCTGGTAGCCTGCCAGCACAGCTCCTCCATGAGAGCACACTAACAGGAGCACTTGTGACTTGAGATACTGTGATTGCATTACACTCACCCTGCATTCTTTTCAGGCTGACTTTAGTTTGGCAATATGATTTTAAAAAATGGTTGTGATGGCATTCCTGAGTGTATGTGCAACTGTCAGGCTTGAACTGTAAGCAGGGGGAAGCTGGGAAGTGTTTGTGTGCTCCCGTTCTTCAGGAAATCCCCATCTTCATTTGAGGTTGGCAGATATTTGTTCTGTGACTCTGGTACCCCTGAATTGTTTCTCCCTAAAGCCATTTCATTTAATCTTCCTCTATTATACAATTTTATTTCATTGATGCTTTCAAAACTGTCATGTATATTTGATCTAAATGAATTACCTTCCATTCCAGGCCTTCTCTCTTCTGTATTAGAACTGAGCCTATCCATTTGCTTGTATTATTTATATTTTAGTATCCTGTCATCTCTTCTTTGGTCTGAATATGCAGTGTAATACTGTGAATGCTTTTTGGTAGAAGCAGATACTGTGTCTTCTGAAGATTCTGCTGTATTTTAGTCCTGTGTTGTATCAGTGCTTTTTGTAACCTAGAGCAAAAATAGTATCACTATCTATGTATCCTTGTATGGGAGCCAGCTTTGCCTCAGGATACATAAAGGAAGAGCTAAAGAGGCATAGAGCCAAGTGTAGTAGTAGTGCTCTTCCTCAGGTATCAGTAGGCTTGGGACAACCTAATTCAGCCAGAGTTATTTTCCTGGGCTCACCATTACTAGTCAGAGCCTATAGCTCAGGAGTACTTTGAGGTCCAAATTTCTTTTGACTAGTAGAATGCTATGGGGCAATAATATTGTATGCTTGTCCTCACACTTTTTGCTAGTTTTCTGTGGCCACAGAAAGTGGATTTAGATAGATCTGTGATCTGACACAGTTCTTACACTGCTATGAAAGATTATAAACTAAGAAATGAAGAATTGGATAGGGAAATGATAGTGGAAAAAAAGTTCTCTTTCAATCCAGACTAAGAGCTAGATGAGAAAGTTCAGGCCTTTTTGTGACTCTTCCAAGCCTAATGAGATCCTTGAGAGATGACAGTTCTACAGTGGATCATGGCACGTTGGTCAACATCGCCATTTGTATCATAAGTGGGTCAAAATATGAAGAACAATTTTTCATATTTGAATGAGACAAATATGTACCCCTGAATGTAAAAGAAAGTTAACTGCTTGGGTTAATCTTGGATTAGGCTGATACCACTTGAATTTTTCTTCTTGGAGCAAGCTATGGACAAAATGAATTCTCCTGGTGAGCAAGGAAGATTGGGTGATCTTTGATAAAGTTTGATTTTAGCCAAATAGCATTCACTGAGCAAAACAAACAAGTCAGTTTCAAGCTTATCCTTTTGGTGATTGTCTAGGAATTTTAATCCAGTGTTACTGGATAGCTGTGCTTCTGATCAGAGTAATTTTATGATGCGTCGGGGAGGAGAAAGGGCTCGGGAGAGAGCTTTTAAAAACTTTAGAGGCTCTAGTGAGATATTGGCCTTCGAAAGTATATCAAAAGGGCAGTGGTGGCTGTAGGCCATCATTTGCAATTTTTTCCTATTATCTGTTCTTTTTCTAAAGTTTACCAGACCTACTCAACCTAGACAGAGTGTATGGTAAGTCACTTAAAGGCAAAATTTCCTATTTAATATTTTAGCTGTTTGATTATCTATAGATAATCTGGTAAACTTTTCAGAAAATAATGAATTCTCTGCATATTTCTTCCAGCAATTGATTATGTTCTGTCATAGCCAACTGCTTCAGTGT